ATTTTCCAAAACGTTGTCCCGTATTCAAGAAAGATATTATTAGCCCCAGATGCGTGTTGATGTGCTTAAGTTTGTCAGGTCATGTAAAGTTTGTGGTGCTCAGAAGACACCAAATTATGCTCCATTAGGTAAAATGGTAAGCAGAGAGAGGCCAAGTTTCCTTGGCAAATAGTGGCAATAGATCTGATAGATACCTTTGTTCGTTCAAAGAAAGGCTATACGTGGTTATTAGTAGTTGCTGATTGGTTTAGTAAATATACTTTAGTCCAACCTTTGAGAAAGACCACGGCTAAGAATATTGTTGAGTTTTTGGAAAATGATGTTTTTCTAATGTTTGGTGTTCTTCAATATGTAATTTGTGATAATGCCTTAAATCTGAACAATCCTCTCTTAATTGAGGTCTGTAATAGGTATAACGTGCAGAAAGTATGGTTTAGCCCAGTATATGCACCTCAGTGTAATTTTGTGGAGAGGAACAATAGAACCATTGGTACAGTAATACGTACGTATGTTAAAGACCACGTAGATTGGGACAAGAATTTAGCAAAGATCAGACAAGCTATTAACACCGCAAAGCATGAAGTGACTGGATATACTCCAGCGTTCCTTAATTATGGCCGTCATGTTCCTTTAAGTGGAAACTATTATGGTGTTGATCACAAGGATCAACAGAGTCAAGATATCGAGATAATTCCAGGTGACCGTAACATGTATGCTTCCGAAGTCAAAGGTTTAGATAAAGTTTTTGAAAAGGTTAAGGCTAATTTTCGAAAAGGATATGAACGTAACGCTAGAAGTTACAACTTACGTAGAAGAGAAGTCCAATTTCAAGTGGGTGATAGAGTTTGGAAAAGAAATAAGGTTTTGTCTTGTGCTGTCAACAAGTTTATGTATAAAATAGCACCGAAGTATATCGAAGCAACCATCAAGGAAAAATTGTCACCAGTGGTTTATCGTTTGTCAGATTTAAATGGATCAGATCTTGGTAAGTGGCATATTAAGTACTTAAAGCCCTTTGTGTCAGATGAGGACAATATCCCTTTGGAATATTGTTTCACCTTTAATAATTTTATGACAGGTAACCTTTGATTGGGAGACACATGTGAGAATCACATTTTGTCATATGCAGGTATGTAGATTTAGGGTCTATATCCTAATTTGTTTGTGGAACCGTTGCCCAATTCCCTGTCTCGCTAGGCGTATAGTGGAGATAGTAGACGCCTACCTACTAAGTGTAGAGCAATTTTTTGATTTGTGTACATTATCTGGTTTAGGCAACGAGGTGACATGGCTATGCCTGCCCGACAAATCACTTGTGTTACTGCTGCGAATGTCAGTGACGTTCACTGCAGGGCATAAGGTTAGCTTCCCCCAAGGCATAGAAACTCATGTCACCTACAGATCATTCTAGAGTCAAAAATTTCAGTCTACTCGACTTTAAAGAGTCTGGCGATCGATGGCACGCTAGCCCATTCCTTATAACTAACTTTGTTTTTCTTGTTAATCCCATGCTAGCCATTATCTAAAATATATTATTAAGAAGTTTCGACTCAGTTAAGAGGTCATCTTCTGATTTTGTTTTTGTTGTTTGCCTTTATCAAAAACTGGATACGATTATCCGAGTTTTTTCTTTTAAGAAGGAGGATTGTAGCGTTTTAAATTTGTTTATATTTAATATCTATATAATAATATAAATTCTGTTTTAAATTTTGTATTACGCCCTTGAGTTGTTTACCTCGTAGTTAAGACGTATTAACGCTGGGAATATTTTTTTGTCTTTATTTACATTAAAATCCTACTATTCGCTGGATGTATTGTGAGGTAAAAAATTTCCAGTTACCCAATTTAAAAGTAAATATTTCTAGATGTTTTTTGGTCGGTTCGGTAGACGAACGAGGTCGAGACGTAAAGGGAAGAGTAGCCCTCGCCGGTATTAGATTGAGGTGAGGAGAATTGAAGGCGATTTTTGAAGAATGACTTTAAGAGAGCGGAGATTGTTAATTGTTAAGGTCGAGCAAGAGATTTCAAACTAGAAAGATGTTTGGCGGGTTTTGAATCCACAGCCGATTTTTTGTGTAATGTCTTAAATTCAATACCGAAGAAAGGTTGAATTGACTCTTTGCAAAAATGGCATTTTAGAACAGAGTACGACCTTAAGATTTGTGAAGATACCGGAATATGATAAAATTTTGAGAGGATTATATAGGATGTCCCACCGGCTTCGTTCTGTTTGTCTGCTTGCTCCTCCACCAAACCTGTTTTGCGTCTTTGATCGTCGTTCCTGAGTATGGAAATGGTTTGCTTTGTTCCAGTTTAAGAATTTGTCCAAGTAGCTTCCCCAGAGATGAACAAGTTTTTTTGTTAAGTGCAATATGTGAAAATACGGTAAAAATTAAACATTTTTTTGTATTGCGTTCATTTAAAAATTTGTAATAATTAAAGCAAATTCGTTGCTCTGATCCATTTTTTTTATTTAGAAAAGTCTCCTAACCCTTGTATGTATTCTTGATTTTAGGGAAGAAGAAATTTTCTTTCTTCCAGCAGGAAGTTTTTCTCGAAGCGGCGTCCGAATAAGAAAATAGCTAGAGATATTCTTGTCTGCCATATTTTTTCGTTTTTAATCCAGGAGATTTATGTAAGTATCCCTTTGTTTTCATTTTTTAGATACCCCAATCCGACCCAATAATTAACTTATCCACGACCCAACTCTCCAACACCCCCCTGAGTGTCGTACGCACCAGTTTCGTTTATTTTGTTTGCCCTATCTCTACCCCCAGTAGTTTCTGTTCCCCATCTTCTACCCCCATGTTCTTACGCTGAGGTAAGCAAAATACATCGTTACAGTTTACCCCTATGAGCGAATTCCTGCAGAAATAGTACGAAACACAAATCCAGACTAGGTCATTGGTAAGATATTTTATTTTATTTCATTACTCCTAACTCAATGTACTATACTCAATAAACTATCAGTAGGAAGCTACCACAGACTAGTAAGAGCTAGAGTAACGATAAATCTACAAAAAGAAAGAGCAAAGATGATAAACAGTTGCACACGCATAGTTTGGAATTCACCAAATCATCCAGAAGCATACATAAAAAATATAGCCGAAACTTTACAGAGTAATAATGCCAAACCTCTAAGTATAGACAATCACAATAAATTAATAACAGACTCGGTTAGATACGCACAAATCAAATTTTGCAAGAAAAATGACACCAAAAGTGAAAATATTAGCAAAGATACAAAAGTTCTCATGGAAATAGGACGAAACCTAAGCGAGAACGAAAACGGAAACAAAGCAGAATATAAAAAACTAAATAAAAGAATTTCAGCGGAAATTAGAAAAGATCTAAGATATAATATTAATGTAATTGCTCAAACAGTAGAAGAGAACAAAGGTTTAAAGATAATGAAAAGAAAACTCACAGAAAGTAAAAAAGAAATATACAAGCTGAGAGATAAAGACGGAATGGCAACAACAGATAAACAAAACATTCTGTAAATAACCAGAGAGTTTTATAAAGACCTCTACACCAGCCAAAGACCACAAGACAATTTCCCGACACGAGTAAAGACTCTCATAAATCAGGGATCGGAAATACTTTTACCCATTACTGTGTCAGAAGCAAGAGCAGCTTTAAAGGAAATAAAGAACCATCGATCGCCTGGTGATGATGGACTCGTTATCGAGGCAATAAAAGCAGGAGAAGAAATTTTATTAAAATCAGTAAGCGAACTGTTTAATAAATGCTTACATGCGAGTACGATTCCAAAAGACTGGAACAATGCAGTGATAGTCTTGTTACACAAAAGAGGCGATATCACTAAATTAGAAAATTATAGACCCATCAGCCTCCTGACATATATGTACAAACTCCTTATGAAAATCTTAACAAAGAGGCTAACACCTAAACTTGATTTCTGTCAGCCCAAAGAACAGGCAGGCTTCAGGTCAGCATATGGCACAAATGACTATTTGCATACCATAAAGATCTTAATAGAAAAGTGCATCGAGTACAACATACCACTGGTTCTTGCATTTGTCGATTACGAGAAAGCTTTTGATTCTGTAGAGTTTGAAACAATACTGGAAGCCCTAAATCAAAGCCGAATAGATTACAGGTACACGAGACTAATCAAAAACATCTACGAGAACGCTACATCAAGTATACGACTACACGAAGACTCAAAAAAATTCAGCTTAGGTCGAGGAGTTAGACAAGGAGACAATATTTCACCAAAATTGTTCACGGCAGCTCTAGAGTCAATATTTAAGAGCACTCAATGGCAAGATATGGGCATCAATATAGATGGAGAAAGATTAAATCACCTAAGGTTTGCAGATGATGTTGTATTAATCGCAGATAACTTACATGATACAGTTTCTATGATGCATTCGCTTAAAAGTCTGTCTGAAAGAACAGGATTAAAGATAAACTTTGAGAAAACTAAACTTATAACAAATCTCATACTGAGTGGAATTATAACCATTGACAATAATACCATACAACAAACAGACAGTTACAAATATCTGGGACACGAAATCAAAATAAGCAGAGGCAATCAAACACATGAAATACAGAGGCGAATAGGCCTGACATAAATCTCATTTGACCTATAATCTCAGCAAATTGTTCGCACAGAATGGAATTTTTATTTACTCACTTTTCCTAAATGCAACGCATATTCTGCGCAGCCAGCAGACGTTTCATTATTTGCTCCCTTAAAAGCTAGTCGGAGGAAAATTGTTCTTAATTGGAGAAGAGCAAATAGTAATAAGCCAGTTAACAAAGCAACCTTTCCCCTTCTATTAGAAAATGCCATAGAGCGAGTTAGAGTTCAAGTAGAAATGAACCCACTGAATAAGATTCTACATTTTCTTTATTTTGAATCACTAATTCCGTAGGAAAGAAGAAAAGAATTTAAACGTGCTGAAATAGGTGAATCGACAGGTGACGAATCAGCAAAGGACTTGTTTGAAATATGAAGAAAGTTAAAGATGAGATGCAAAGAAACAAAAGAAAGTGAAGTTCTAGATGCAGAAAAAGAAGATAATAACATTAAAGAAAATAAAACGAATAATATAAGAGACAAAGAAGAAGCAAGGTTTAGTTTGGTAGCAGCTAGAGCAAACGTTGTATCAAATGAAGATAACTACGACAAGATAGAAGGGTTAGCTGATAAAGTGAAGGATAATTCCGACAGAGGTGAAGAAAAGTATGACAGAATAGAAGATGAGGCAAATTATGTGAAAACCGCAAAAGAAGAAAGACGTGATATAACTGAAGAAATAGAAGATAAAGTAAAGGATGATACAGGTATTGGAGAAGAAATGACACATATAGTAAATTACAATAATGCTCAAAAAGACGTTTGTCCAAGCGAAACTATTTCTTTCAGGACTGTCAATGTCTAGCCCTAAACAAAATTTGAAGAACCGAAAAATTAGAACTTCCTTGTTAGACCACATTTTTTGGCCAGAGGAGTCGCCTGAAAATAAAAACCAAGTTGTGAAATAAGAAAGACTGCCGTATGCTACCACGTCTAAAAAGTGACTTGAGTATCATGAAAACAAAGAAACTATGAAAATTAAAGAATTAAAAGAAAAATAAGAAAGATAATTAATAAGAATTAAGAAAAGCAGCAAAAAGCTGTAAATAAAAATCAAAAATAGAAAAAAGTTCAGACAAAAACCAAAAAACCTAAAATATATTATTCCGAAAGCGAGCGAGATAAGGAATGGTCTGAAAGCGGAACAAGTCTTGACGATATATCAGAACATTTCACGAGTGACAACGAAGAGGAACCCTTAACCAAAATTGCTGAAAAAGAAATGCAATAAAGGACGGGGAATTTTATTTAGTTAGTTTTCCTCGGAAAAAGAATATCTCACAACTACATTCTAAACGTAGTTAGTCGAGATGAAATAGAAGTTCAAGCTCTTTGTCCTGTTGACGGTGATAAGTCAACCTATAAGCATATTGACGATGATATTAGTATAGTCACTAAAGTTCAACTCGTATGTAGGCTGGAGCAGCCAAAACTTGTAGGTACTGAGAATCGTATTAGGTAAAAAATTTCCGCTGCAATACCTAGAAAGAAGCAAGTACCTAATATAAAATGTTAACGTATCAAATTGAAGTTTTATTTATATCGTTTGGTATGGGTCAATTACTGGAAAAACATGGTCAAACACTAGTTGTCAAGTGGGCAACAACCGGAAGAATATGAATTTATATACAGATTGAACGAATTTAAAACGGATCATACATTTTAATATATGTCTGTTTAAACTGCATTTGAAATAGTGGACCAATATAAAACTTGGACAAAAATTAATCCATACCTGGGGATAGACATTGTATAAAATATCGTTCAACTATCTGTCTCGCAACAATGTTGTTTGCGTAACAATATTGCCAATCGCCGTGTAATAATCCTATTTGCGGGTCTTTTTGAGAGTTATATCTTCTTCGTATCTTTAAATAAATCGGATATTTGCCTATATTTTTCATTGTATTTACCAATCTACTACAACAGACTAGTAACAAAAATAAACTTAATGGTTTGTAGTTATTTCCTTTCTCTCCTGTAAATATTTTATGGTTAATCCCTTATTTGAGAAAAATCTAGAGGAATGAGGTTGACGACACCGCTCAAAGAAGGGCTTGTCTAAGGAAGGAAGAAGATAAGTGGTTTGACAGCATAATAAAATCGTAAATTTATGTGTAGCTTTAAATTTTTATGATTTTAGAAACCAGCAGCCTGCTGAAGTATTGGATTTTTATAATATAATTATTTGACAACATTTTGTTGGCCAACCACCTACAGCGGAATTGAGCCGAAATACATAATATTTCGTATGTTCCAAATTTATTTCGTTCAATCTGTATAAGAAAAAAGAAGTACTTGTGACTGGTTTGGAAAAAATATAAAACTGTTTTGGATGGGTTGGAGTCAATAAAATTTTATTGACTCTTTTGTGTAGAATAAAAAGTAAAAGGTACCGATGACAATTGTTGGGGAACCATGAGGTTCCTTTTGAAAAAGATTTTACATCGAATGTGATGTATGAAATTTGCTGAAGTTCTCGTTGAAAATGTTCCATATTTTTTTCAATAAAAACTTTTGGCTTCATGTTTCGATATATTATACATCAGCGATAGAAGAGAAATATTGTATTATATTATATTGTTCTTGTTAACATATTGTGACATTTTTGTGACTTTTTAATGTTTGTATAAATTTTAAAAAAACTCTGAATGTGTTTTTTACTGTAATAATATTGTATTTTTTAAATGTATTTTGTAACACCTCAACGTATGCATTTGACATTGTTTGACATCTATATATGACTTTACAATCATTAGAACTGAAAAAGTGCAGAAATACTGCACGAAACGTTTTCTATTAAAAGATTGAAATAGTTTTTTCATTTTTTATTTCTCCTTGACCGATATCCTCATTTACAGTGAGATTTTAATCTCACTCACATTGTGTATTTAAATTTAGACGTTCGTACTCATTTCAATATATACAGGATGGTTCCTTAAGTAATTGTACAAAAAGAAACCGTAGATTCTACACTTTAAATATTACGATTTGAGCTAAATTGCTTTAATAAAATGTTCATATTAAGAAATATACAGGGTGTTAAAGTGGAAATTTAAAATTTTAATTTTTGCTATAACTTTCATGTTTGTGAACATTCATGTATAAAAATTCATAACTAGGTACTATTGAACATCAGAAATTATAATTTGATGCACACTTCAATGTAGCTTATAGAGGACGTCACATATGCCACATATGTGGCATACATTTGCACGTAACTTTTTTTGCTTTTTAAGTTACCAGTGTTTGTGATAAAAAACATTAAAGATTATTTGGACAAAAAAAAGGAATACTTGTTAATATCTTCAAAACTCAACAGTTTTCGAGATAATTGCATTTTACAAATCAACTACATAATTCTGAGTAAACGCAATTACTCCAGGAAACGAAAGAAAATTAGACAAAAACATCAATACTTTTGAATTATAATATGGTATAATATGGCTTTAATAAAGTTAATATTTAACGAAATATTAAATAAAATAAATATATTATCAGCAGAATAGTTAATAGTAGGACTTTACATCAAACCTTTTACGTTTTGTAGAATAGAATAGAAATATGCTTTATTGTCACTGAAAATTATTGAACAATTTTATGGACAAAGCTAAAAAATAAATCAGTCAAATAGTACAAAAAGTATAAAACAAAAACAAATATAGTAAAAAACAGAATAACACAATTTTAAATTAGTAAAATTATTGTATAATCTACATAATTTGTACAGACAACAACAAATGAGACAAATTGTAGCCACTGGTTGAGACACCCAACTGTAATTATAAACAATACTAATTTTGTTTCTTTGTTATACCTACATTAAGAAACTCGTCAACTGAATAATATGGTCTTTCTGAGAGATAGATTTTTGTCACCTTACGAAACTTAATGAAGGATGTTGGGATTTAATTTCTCTTGGAAGGTGATTATTAAGTTTCTTTGCACGATATAGAATAGCAATTTGCTTTACTAGCTGAGTGGACGGGATCGGCAAATAAACGTTACAATCCGAATTTCTAATGGAGTAGCCATGGTCAGGTCTATCGGGAAAAATGTTTAGATGCTTTCGAATCAAACAAACCGTTTCCAAAATAAATAGAGAGGGAAGCGTCAAAATTCCGTGATTTTTGAAGTAGGTCTTGCAATGAGTTGTTTGTTTGAGACCAAATAGATAACGGATTGCTCTTTTTTGCAACTTAAAAATAGTATCAAATTGGGCCGCTGTACTAGAACCCCAAAATGGTAGCCCATATCGAAGATGGGACTCGAACAATGAGAAATATGCCATTTTGGCAAAAGATAAATTTAGTTCCTTCGAAACAGATCTTATTGCAAAGCAAGCTGAGGCTAGTTTCTTCCTTAAGGAGTCAGCATGCAAGGACCATTTGAGATCACTATCAATGAGAATACCTAGAAATTTCACGGAATTTACGATATTGATTTGGCTCTCATTCAAAAGCAAGGGTTGCATGACTCCTTTATAAGATATACATCATGTAACACAGAAAATATGGCATCACTAGTGCATTTATTAGACAAAAAGCCGAACTGATTTTGCGATAAAATATTATATTTAAGGAGAAAGGGCATAAGTCGAACTTTTATAAGTCTTTCAATAATTTTTGATAGTGCTGGTAACAAGGCAATAGGTCTATAGTTGCAGGCATTAGATTTTTCTCCACCTTTATGAAGAGGAATGACGATGGCAGTCTTTAGGCAGTTATAGAATGTACCTTTTTCAAGGGAATCATTTACTAGCGAGACCATGACCTCCAAAACATAATGCGGTAGATTTGAGAAAATTTTAATAGATAATCCATCTGTACTACAGGACGATGTGCTTTTTATACTACGAATTATTGAAATGAGTTCCGTCTTATCAACTGGTCTTAAAAAGAAGGTATCAGCAATGTTTTTTGAATTAGAGAGATAGGAAACTGGATATTGTTGTGGCGAAATAGTTGAGGTTATATTTTTACTCACATTAACAAAGTCATCATTTAGATTTTCGGGGTTAGGAACAGAAAAGGTTTGATTCGCTGTACTGGTTTTATTTCGAAAATCGTTTATTATTGACCAAGTTTCTTTTGAAATATTTTTGGAGCTTGTTAAGCGATTATGAAAGTAGGATTTTTTGGCTACTTTGAGTAGTTTTATATAGCATTTTCTGTACTTATTGATATAATCAGAGATGGGGATACTGTCATTAAATTTTTTAATATATAGCAGAAAACGCATATTTTTCGCAGATATGCGAATGCCTTTGGTAATCCAAGGTTTGTTATGTTTTGGCCTAATGTTTAATAGAGGAAATGCTTTATTAAAAATAGATACAAGTCTATTTAGAAAATCACTAACATTACAGTCAATGTCCCCAGAAGAAAAACTCCAGTCAGAAGTCAAGCATGAATTATAGAATTTACGAAAGTTTTGAGTGGAAAAAATCCTACCTAATCGTCGGGTTTTTGAGTGAGGTGTTTGTAAACTGCTAAACTTGGTATATACCGCTTCATGATCAGAAAGCCCCCCACTAATAACTGTAGAATGGACGTCAGCGGGTGGAAAATCGGAAACCACATAATCAATTGTCGAGGACGATGTTTTTGAGATTCTTGTTGGAGAATTAACGTGCATTGTGAGACCATATGATTCAAAAATAGTTACTAAAGACAGTTGGGTCGCACAAACAGCAATGTATTAAATTAAAGTCATAATCAAAATATTTTATTTATAAACTAAATTAAGAAATAGTTAAAGTAATTATCATTAAACTTTTTGTCAAAGTAAGTGTTCGATATATCCACTATTTGATTTAATTAATTTGTACATTCCATAAAAGATCGTCTCATAATAAATAGCATTATTGGTTCTAAAGAAACTGCTGCAGTATTTAATATATACATATATATATATATATATATATATATATAATATATATATATATATATATATATAATATATATTTATATTATATATATATATATATATATATATATAATAAAGTATATATATATATATATATATACATAAGTATAATAATATATATATATATATATATATATATATATATATATATATATATATATATAATAAAAAAGTATTCGTTTGGGATTTTTGTAAATTACATAATTATATAATAATAATTATATTAATATCTCACCACATGACCAAGGAATATGACTACCACAACAATCGAACAATGTAAAATGCGATTATCTCGAAAACTGTTGAGTTTTGACGATATTAACAAGTATACTATCAAGTATATACTATAAGTTGATATTTTGTCAAAATAATGTATCTTTAATATTTTTTTATCACAAACACCGGTTTGTGCACAAGCACTTAAAGAGCAAAAAAGTTAAGTGCAAATGTATGCCACATATGTGGCGTATGTGGCGGCCTCTATCAGCTACATTAAAGTATGCATCAAACTATAATTCCTCATGTTCAATAGTACCCAGTTATGAATATTTATATATAAATGGTTACAAACACGAAAGTTATAGCGAAAATTAACATTTTGAATTTCCACTTGTAACACCCTGTATCTTTCTTAATATCAACATTTTATTAAAGCAATTTACGGATCACGCTGTATATATATATATATATATATATATATATATATATATATATATATATATATATATATATATAAGAGTAAGAAAATAGAAGTACTTGTGACTCGTTTGGAAAAAATATATAAATATGTTTTTTATGAGCTGGAGTGAATAAAAGGGGCTCTATTGGTAAACTATTCTTTATGTCAAGCTTTCAATTGTGTTTACAATCTTTATCAAGAGCTTCTAAAAAATACAAAAAATCTTACAAAGTGAAACTGGAAAAGTAAATTTTAAGTCACCAAATAAAATTAGTTTTGTTAGTAAATCTAAACTGCTTAACATGTTAAAAAAACTATTTTAAAAAAATGTAAAATGAATGTTTCTCTAAATTTAGTAATTTTGAAAAACTTTTTAACAAAAATAATTGAACTTGTAAATAAGAATAAGCGCCCAATTACAAAAAGCTTCAATGTCATGAATGCCAACTTACAATTTTCATTCTTGACAATTATATTACCAAAAAATAAAATTTTGTTTAAAAAATTCTTTTTTATTTAGTAATAAAAAACAAGGTTAATTCATCATTGATAGATGTCTAAAACCTGTAACAAGTATATGGAATATTAAATTAAAATGTGATATTTTAATGAATAAACTATAGAGAAATAATATAATTATAAATTTTGATTAGATTTTGAATTTCTGATCTTTTGTTTAAAATATTATCACTTCTGATAATATAAACCATTTCCAAAAGAATGCTTTTGAATTTATTACTTTAATTACATAAAATTTTAATGTTATCAAAATCCATAATATGGTCTTTGTCGATTACATGCTCTGCTAAAGCACAAGATGGTTTTTTAATTCTACTGAAACTTTTGTGGGAAATAATACGGTTTGACAGATTCCTTCCGGTCTCACCAACATACACAGCTTCACACTGGGTACAACTAATGCTGTATACTACATTTGTTTTATCTAATTTATCTATAGAATACTTAGTTTTGGAATATAAAGATGAAATAGTTTTGATGTTCTTTGTTGCTATTTTTATATTGTCAATAACCTTTACTGTTTGTATTAATTTAGGTTTTAATGATGGTTTAAAAGGTAGTGAATGATAATAAGTGTTTTGATTATTGGATACAATGTTCTGAGATTTTGCAAAAAATGGTGTTAAGTTATTTATATTAGAAATATTAGAAAAAAAGCATCCTATGTAGCTTATCTGGAGGATAAGAGCTCTTATCCTTTTTGAATATTGAAGAAGTTAATTGTTGACTCAATTAATAAAGTGTTGTCTTATAAACGATATCAATTTAATATGCGTACTTAAACCTTTCAAAAATAATAAAATGTCTCTTCTTATCTTTTCACCATAATTAGGGTTAGATTTACATTTTATCATGTTGTTTTCAATTTTATTATTAAATATTAATACAATTTTTTTTCTTAGAAATTAAAAACTGTGATGGAAAAACGTGAAAAAATTCCACCGAAAACCTTTGAACCGTGCTGTGATAAACTAAGTGATAGAATATTCTTGCCAAATCACAAAAACAACAGAAAACTTGGTGACATAAATTGCACCATGTCTGCAGTGCACGAACGGGACCTCTCATCGAAAACTCAACTTCCTCAATCTGTGCTAAAAGAATTTGCAAGGACATACCAGGAACCTAAATTTATAGATGACACAATGAATTCGAATCATAAACTAACAGAATCAGGTAATGATTTTTATATTTTCTTTTAATTTGTGTTTATTTTATGTTTATTTGTTATTTCATGAAATCAATTAACCAAGACTTCTGTTTATATAATAAAATTATATTTAATTGATGGATTCGACCGTTACTTAATGAAAATTAATTTTTCTAATGTAACAATAAAACACTAAAAACTTTGTTTTCAAACTTCCACAAAATTTATTTTAAATTCTTATCTCTACAGCTGTTTCGGCTGATTGCCTTTCTCAAGTGATCTATTTTGGCATGCGTTTACACTTTGTAGTCTTCAATGAAATATGTTGGGAAGGGGAGAACTGTTTGTCTCAAGTTGGTCATTAAGAATTGTATCTGTGTTTTTTAATATGTTGATTTCCATAGATTCTAACAAAGATACTTTAAGGCCTTTATTTTGAATGTGAAGAATTTTAAATTCGTCATTAAAAGAATGATTATGATCTAGAAGATGAAGTGCGTATGTAGAATCTGTTTTTCTATTATTGAAGCAGTTATAGCAGTTGTATGTTCTGCTATTCGTCTATTAAAATTTCTACCTGTTTGACCGATGTAAGTTTTTGGGCAGTCGCCACATTTGAGTTTGTACACACCACTGTGTGGGTGTTTTTTATTTTGGCTCCTGTTGTTTTTAATATATTTGCTTAAGTTGTTATTTGTTCTAAAAGCTGGTGTTATTCCTTTCTTTTTTATGTGTTTGGCTATTTTAGTTGATATTTTGCCTGTATATGTAATGGAGCAGAAGGTACTGGGTTTTTTCTCTGGTGGTGGAAATACTAATTTTAGGGCTTTCATGTGTAGTTTTTGATTTAACATTTTATTAATTGTTTGTTCGTTGTATATATTGTTTACTGCTATTTGCTAAATGATATGTAATTCTGTGTCAAAATTGTATTTTGACATCGGAATTTCTGTTAATCTAAGTAACATACTATGATAGGCTGCCAGTTTATGTTGTGTGGGATGGGATGATGAATTGTTGATGGGATGTTTATGAAATATGGAGAAGTCATGTTTGTTTTTAAGTCTGATAATTTTTAAATCTAAAACATTTATCGATTGATTTTGTTCTGTTTTTATTGTAAATTCAATATGACTATGAAGTGAATTAATATACGATAAAAATTGGTCGAGTTGCCTGTTAATTCCTGTAAAATATACCATTACGTCGTCTACGTATCTCCACCAATATAAAAACTGTTTGACTATGGGATGTTTTGAAATACGTGTCTCTAGATGATCCATAAAAATATCTAATAGCAATGGGCTTAGAGGATTGGCCATTATAAGTAATGCACTGTTATTTGTGTATATTTGATTATTAAATTCAAAATAGTCCTGGTTTATGCAAACTTCAAGAAGATATAAAAGTCCCGATGTAGATTGGATTTGTTCTATTTTGGTCTACAAGGTTTTTTACTAGAATAAAAGTTTCTGTAGGGGGAATACTAGGAAAAAGATTTTTTACGTCAAATGAAATTAATCTGGAGTTATCAGGTAATTGAAAATGTTGTATTTTATTAACCAGTTCTATTGTATTTTTTATGGTAAATTAAGGTAAAAATTTACTGTGTTCTAAAATAATCTCTAACATTTTTTTTTGAAAGTTTTATATTTCTGAATGACCAACTTGAGACAAACAGTTCTCCCCTTCTCAACATATTTCATTAAAGACTATAAATTGTAAACGCATGCCAAAAATAGATCACTTGAGAAAGGCAATGATCTTAAACAGCTGTAGTGATAAGAATTTAAAATAAATTTTGTGGAAATTTGATAACATAGTTTTCAGTTTTTTATTGTTACATACAATTATATTTGTTCAAAACTATCTATTAACATAACGTTAAATTTGTCGCTCACTTAAGCGCGGAGAAGCAGAGCTAAGCGAAGCACGGCGCGGCGAACTTTTGAAATACACGCCAATATGTGCACGGTTTTTCTTTTATATACAAGAAGGTACAGTACGTTGTTCTATTTGGAATCGAGGGCAGTTGTATTTTGGCGTTGAGGTAGGTGTTGTAAGATACTTTTGAAGTAATGACATCGAGTAGCAGTTGAGAAGAAGACTTTGTTATTTTATGTACAGTAGCTGAAGAAGAGACACATAATATGAATTGACATTTTTCACCTATTTTTTCGCAAATGTTATCACGCCTCATCTGGTTGTGGTAGTTGTAATCCGAAACATCATAAAATTCTTTTAATTTTTAATAATCAAAATAAATGTTTCGTCATCCATACCCTCTTCAATGCAGATCAGTACCTACAGGTGTAAATACAAATACCAACTGAAAATTGGCGATCTTAGTGAATGTGGTTTCATTCTATCAATACCAGACACATCAAAAGTCGTCGATAACAAACGGAATCCAGAAAAGTTTCCGCTTGACTTCCATAGACCTCCGCTTACTAGTTCAATACGAATTCGTCTAGGATTGTACGGTTGCGCTCTTCGCTGTGCCGCACGTTGCATCACACAGATACTCGCGAGTAAATATTTAACTACATGAAGAAAATTGATAGCAACCTTTTTTCCCCGCATCGCTTCGCGGTGCAAATCAGTTTAGCAACAAGCTTACTTAACTGATTACAAGTTAAATAGAAAATTAGATTTTTATGTTTAATAATCAAAGGCTATCATAAAAAAGACAAGTACCTATATAAAGAAAATAGGGAGAAATTTTAGAATATACAAACAACTTAAAAAATAAAAATAGCCAAGACTCAATCGTGTTATTCTGATCTCGACTTTCGATGGCTTGGTAGATGTTATTGATTTACTGGACCGACGGCAACCGTTTCGTGTAACCTGTGACACTATTATTTAAGAGTAATGAGGCCTCACATTTTGTGCGTATTCTTTATATAAATGCTAAAACATTGATGTATAAAGAAACCATCACTTAGTTTTTTCGGCGAGATTGGTCATAGATAAGAGTTCCTGTAAGTTATAAAACGAGGATGCCAAAAATAAGAAATAAACTGAATGATAACAAATGAATATTGGTATTGGTGGAAAATATAAGGTTGAATGCTCGAATAAATGAACTTTGATGGTATACAAGGCAAATATCGAACACAGTGTTAATTAAATCTTGCCCAAGTACTTTCGATCACTAGATCATCCTCAGGGGCTTTTCGTCAGTTGTGGCGTATCCGACAAGAGCAGAATGTCATAAATGTAAAATGGTACATAACAATACACTACACAAAGACAAATTCTGTCATTCTATCATTCTGTCTCCGGCTTCTATATACCATGTAGCTTCGCCATTCTTAAAAAAAAATAAATAAAAAAAATTGTTTGTTTGTCTTTGTGCAGTGTATTGTTATGTCCCATTTTACATTTATCACATTCTGCTCTTGTCGGATAGGCCACAACTGACGAAATGCCCCTGAGGATGATCTAGTGATCGAAAGTACTTGGGCAAGATTTAATTAACACTGTGTTCGATATTTGCCTTGTATACCATCAAAGTTTATTAAATAGTTGGTTAATAAAAATAAATTAAAATCTAAATAAATGCAAAAATTAATACGGGCAACTCTTAAACACATCTCCAGCGATTATCTAAAGCAAAAACAAAAAAAAGCAGATCACTTACCGTTATACAATTCATTCTATGTTGTAAGGAGCTCCTTGATAATCTTGCTGGTATAATAGCAGTTGCACCTAAGATCGAAAAACTGTGAAAACAAAACTCCCGGCTAGCATGCTCGATAGAAGTAACAATTTTTTCTAACGTCCTTATCTGGTTGATTAATTTGAGTAAAGCGAAATAGAAATGACTTGTCTCTCGTGTAATCTAAACTGATTTTGCTTGGAGCGAGAAAATATTTAAAATGAAATTAATAATTGAATAACGTCATACGAATAGTTAAATAGTTTTAAATGATAAAAATAAAATTTTATATTCAAGTAAAAAATAAACAACTTCCCCAAACAAAACCAATTGTTGGATGTCACTTTTATTTATCTCAAAAGAGTAAGATCTAATTTAAATAGAATAAGTTTAAAAAGAAATAATTGCCTACGCTATAAATTAGCGTAATTGATTATATACAAAAAAATTAAATAAAAGGGTAGGTACTATATTACTTATCTCAAAAAAAGTTATTTATAGAGAAAGCAAATGAAAACGTAATAACAGTTATAATGCCAAATAAAAATTGTAAAGTTATATAAAAGATTAGGAAAAAATGTTTCTAAAACATTTGGTATTGGTGATGGTATATAAAAAATATAAACAAAAAATAAACCTTTGATAATTGATAAATAAAAAAAATAATTCCGTTATATTTGTAGAGCTCTAAATTAAAAATATATTAATTAGGGTTAAAAAAGTAATATTTTCAAATAATTTGTATTGGAACTAATATTCGAAAAACAGGGGATGTGTTTTTCACAGGGGAAAACACTCCAGGAGTGACCGAGAATGGAAAGTATAGCTCTCTGATCGTCTAAGCAAGGAGCGATGATTTTAATTTACTTATTTTATTTTATTGCATTTTATTTTATTATAGTTTATTTTATTTTATTTTACTAATAAACATGGACCTGCGTTTACTGCGTGTGTGGTCGCGCGGTGTGTTTTTACAGTTTTTACTGTAGGTTTTATTTTTTCACACCTCTCCGTCCATATCCATATTACATATCCACCGCTCCGTCCGTAGCCCGCGATAATAACGCTATGCTTAAAAAATATTGTGAATAAAAAACAAATACACGTCATTAATAAGTGGTAAAAATAAGAAATCAAAAAGAATGCAGGGAAACGATAGAAAAGCTCATAATCGAAAACAGAGAGCTGAGAAAAGAAATTGGAACTGAAACAAGAAAATATAGAGATCAAGGAAGAACTCAGAGAAATAACAAAAAACATGGAAGTTATGGAAAACACCGACGAATAAATAACATAGTTATGAACGGCCTAAGGATAGACACATATGAGAAAGCAGAGTTAAAAGGCACAATCAATAATGTC